TACTGTTACATTGGTTGAAGATTACCATGAGAATCATTATGAAGAATAAAGAGACTTTTTGGAGAATTTGGGGGGAAAATATTCTTAATATTTATGAAAATAATGTACACATCTTATTTGTCCTAAAAAAAAATTAGTAGTATGAAGGCAAAGAATTTTAAGGTAAACATTTTTTTTTAACTAATCTCAAATGCTCATCAAGGCTTGATTTATCTGATCAAAAATACAGTAAAAACAAAAATATTGTGATAAGTTATTACAATTTAAAATAACTGTTTTGTTTTTGAATATAAAGTTAAATGTAATTTATTTCCGTGATGCAAAGCTGAATTTTCAGCATCATTACTCCAGTCTTCAGTGTCTCATGATCCTTCAGAAATCATTCTAATATGCCTGATTTGCTGTTTAAGAAGCATTTCTGATTATTATCTATGCTGAAAACAGTTGTGCTGCGTCATATTTTTGTGGAAACCGTGATGCATTTTATTTTTCAGGATTCGCAGATGAATAGAAAGTTCAAAAGAACAGCATTTATTTGAAATAGAAATTGTCTGTAACATCATACATGTCTTTACTGTCACTTTTGATGAATTGAATGCATCCTTGCTGAATAAAAGTATTATTTTGTTTTAATTTCTATGTTGCTAGTATGGAGGAGGAGGATTTTGTGGTTTCAGGAGATGGTGCATCTGAGGGTGACGCGGGCTCTTACGACGCGAGTGAATGGGGCAGTGGTGAAAGTGCCGCCGAGAATCAACCGGCCTCCAGGAGAACAGGAAGAAGCGCTCACACTCTGGGAACCAGGAGGAGCAGACGCAAATCTCCTTCCCGACGAAGAGGCACCTCAGAAGAAGAGGACATGTTAGACTCTGAGGAAGAGGAGGAGGAGGAAGAGGGAATGGGTCTGTTTGAGTTTTCATATCCATTCTACCTAAAAGAATAACATATAGAATCTGTTTCAAAGCTAGTGAGCTGGTGTCTTTACTTTAGTAAGGCAGCATAATTTTGCTGCTTCTGTTTTTGGAGGTACTGTAGGTCACAGAGCCTTATTAGTGTCACATTGAATTCTTCACTCACGGTTTTTACCTTTGTCTTGATCTGGCAGAAACAGAAGGCTCTAACGAGTTCAGCGACAGCGATGTGGATGTGAATAGAAGGCGTCCGCGACGGAGTCAGAACTCTCAGGTCAACTACTGTGAGACGTCAGAGTCTGACGGGTCACGAAAGGCGTCCGATCAGAAGCACTCCTCTCTTCCTCACCGTCGACGGCTGTCCAGCTCCAACAGTGAAGGTGAGCACTGCCACACTCCTGTTTTCAAATGCTAATTTATGCTAATGTCATCTGAGCCATAGCCATGTGGGCAAGTGCTCCGATATCGACTCGAGGTCCTTTCCCAGTCCAATTCTCCTCCCATGATTCCTAGCTGTCCTCCTGCTGTCCAATCTAAATAAAGGCAAAAAGCCCCAAAAATGTAACTTATGTATCTCAACTCTCTGGTATTCCTCCCTGAGGGGGTCACACTTGTGATCTGCCGTGGTCAAAACTGGCCAAAGACAATAAGTATAAAATTATTTATAATTAAATGAATGTTCTATATTTTGTTTCAGTAGTTTTTATATTTTGTATTTTGACAATTTCATATTACAAGACTTTGAATTTGTATTTTTTAACAATTTCATGTTACAAGACCTCGAAATTATGCACAGAAAATAAAAAATGTATAGTGTCTCGCACACCCAAGATATGACAGATAAAAGTCCAATATAAACTCGAAAAAAATTCGAAATCCTGCACACTCAAACTTGCATTATTTATGAAATTTTATTATCAACATTTCAGTCAATCGAGCTTCCTCAGGCAAAAGAATCAGCACATTAAAAAACAACTCACTTTTGCGTGTTTTGTTTAATGTGCAGGCTTCATACATTAATTTGATAATAAAATAATAGACATATTACAAAAATATTTCAGATCATTTTAAATGAATACAGTGTTTAACTTTAAAATATTTATTTTAAAATATGATTTTTTAAAAATGTATAATATTAGCATACATAAAATATATTTATTTTAAATATGAGTTATTTAAAATCCAATGCAGGGAAGGCAGATCCTTTTAATTGCTAACAAGTGTATTTTCAGACATAATTACTTTTACTAGGTTTATATATATTTAGACATTATCAAAGACTAATTAATCACAGCTGATTTGTAGATTGTACCCCAAAAAAATAGGGTCATTTCATTTTAAAAAAAAAATCTTAAATATATATTGGTTTTTCTGTATAAGGAGTGGTGTGTCTTTTAATTTTTGTTCTTGCTTAAATCCATAGTGCTCAGCATGATGATTTATTTAAAGCACAATTTTCAGCACAATTTTTTTTTGCACAACTAGACAAGATTAAAACGAAACAATGCATCCCTAAGGACTCTCCGTTTGCGATTTTTCATTTTGTCTCATCACACTACATATAAATATTAGCTCACTGTTAGCTATACTGGTTAATTACAACCAGAAATGTCAGCTGTTTTCTTCTCATCCTATATTTCCAGAGTCCATACTTTCTAAAGACTTTGAGCCAAAGGAATCGCATCAGAGATCAGAAAAAGGACGCAAGTGCGATTCAACAAGGGAAGATTCCAAACACAGGCACAAACGAGAAAAACAGAGACAACAGAGAAGCTCCAGTGAAGACGAGGAGGAAGAGGCAGATGGAGGAGAAACGGAGGATTCAGAGGAAGACGAACGGCCCCGCCGCAAGAAGTCGAACCGCATAGAAACAGACGAAGAAGAAGAGGAAGAGGAGAACACACGAGGAAGCGTCCGGTGGAAGCACACGGCGGGGTCTCGAGGTCCCGTCAGGCACAACGGCTTGGTCCCGCTGAGGGCCGCAGCTCAGGATGATGACGACGATGAGGACGAGGAAAGCACTCCAGTCCATCTGTTAACATCTGGAGAAGACAAAAACTGTGAGTTTGTAAGAAATAAATTAAACATTAAGATGTTTTTAACTTCATGTTGAGTCCTCTATCCAGTGGAAAAAGATGGATTTATTTCTTACATACAAACATCTTTTGGCTTCGCAAGATGTTAACTGATGGACTGGAGTGGTGTGGATTACTTGTGGATTATTGTGATGTTTTTATCAGCTGTTTGGACTCTCATTCTGACGGCACCCATTCACTGCAGAGCATCCATTGCTGAGCAAGTGATGCAATGCTACATTTCTCCAAATCTGTTCCGATGAAGAAACAAACTCATCTACATTTTCAGCAAATTTTCATTTTAGGGCCAGCTATTCCTTTAAACTAGTTAGTAGACCAGCAAATACAGGAGGAAACACATTGGAGGACAATTGAAAATGATCTTAATATTAAAGATCTGCAATTTAGCTGCAAATCATTTTAATTTAAAAGACTAATACACTCTCTTAACCTAAAATAACATTGTATGTTATATTAAAAAGAATATGATTGACTTATTTTTCTTATTAGGACATTTTCTGCTCTTTTGAAAGCTGTTGCTGAAGTTTTAGGACACTTTAATGAGACGTTCAGGCACATTTAAGTCCCTGTCTGAGTTTTAATATGTCAGATGAATGCACTTGTCGTTCAAGCACCTTTGATGGTGCTGTTTGGTACCGTACTGTTGAAAAGTTCTGTTCGACAACAGTCCGATCACTCTTTCCTTAGAGGTGTTTTTAGTATTTACTCCAGGCTGGTGTTGTTTATGCTGGAAGGTTGTTTGAATTAGAACACTATGAATTCATTCCAACACAAATCCACCCCATTACAAAACAAATCCAATATTCAGAAGAAAAAAAAGCATTAGAATAATTATGGTCTTTGCTTTCAGTTAAAGAATGTGTTTTTGATCCGTATACTACTGGAATTCGTGTTTTCCTTCTCGTTTTATTTTTAATCTTACTTTGCAGACGTACGTCTCCATGTTTCAAGGAAATTATTCACAAAACGGAAATAAACTAAATATGTTGCTGTTAATGTTTTTGGCTCATAATTTGTCGTTATTAAGTAGCTGTAAAGGTTTCAAGATACCAGAAGCATTTACTTTTATGTGTGGCATAATTTCAACAATATTTTAGGTTTAAATACATATAAACATAAGAGAATGAGTGCATTTTTGATGTTTTAAAAAAATGCAAACGTAGCGCAGTGGGTTATATTGAAAATACAAACATTCTGTGTAATCTCTGAATTAATGCGTGGTCATAAAAACCACACGTATAATAATTATACAATAATTAGAAAATGTTTATTAGTTAACTACCCTTATGCAAACAATAAAATAATCTATTTAAATCTTAAAAGATGAATAAAACATTTATAATGCAAAGTGGTTGTTTAAAGAAAATTGTGCCGCATCTCCTCCGATCCTGTAGAGGCGCTACGCTTTAGTTTATATGAAATGAAACGCACGTTATAAAGCGGCGCTGGCGCGTGGAAAATAAGTGATGGGTAGAATGGATTAAACACTTACTTACAATGGGCGGTGCTTAGCGGCCGTATGTCATCTGTAATTAGTCAGTTAAGATGTGTAAATATAATTAATAGCTTTCAATCCCTACTAACGTTTCTTAGTACTGTTTTTGAAGTGCAAATTTTTATCCATATCGCAGCTAAAGCGGCAACGCACCGCGATATCACGTGGTACATGTTACTTTTCTCCGCGTTTTAGTCCCGTGGACCAATCACAGTCGTTTATGATTACATACTAATATATTTTGTTTGATCCTTTTACAGATATCGCTCGGCTGAATATTCGTATGTTTAATATATATACATTTTTGTAATTAGTATATTTAAAAAATAATACTTATTACTGCACAAACGTCTTCAATAAGACAAAAAAGCGTATTGAGATTTGAATGCGGCTCAATGGAGAATCCGCCTTTCTGGGCCACTTAGCGCCCCCTGCAGTAATAAACTGGGATTTCGCCCACAGGAAAAGCCAGTTGTCGCCTAATGAGTGATTACTACAGAAGTGACGCATGACAGCGAGTCTTTGAACTATAAAATCCATTTTGAAAGTTTCTCGCCACGCAAACCGGCTGCGTTTCTATTGTACACGAATGCAGTAAGCGTTGAATGAGAGTTACTGTTGTTGCTGCAGCGCTTTATTTGCGTATTGTCTCAATAGAGCGTCAGTGTTAGCGCCTTCAGCAGCTTCACAGTGATTGCAGTTCATCAGGATGGTTGTGCTGAAGAGTTTGCATCCACCCAGCGAGGGCGTGAGGCTCCAGCAGGCCGACACCACTGCAGTTCTGGACGGGAAGAGACTGGGATCAGGGACGCTGTTTGTGGCTGAGGCGTGAGTGTCTGTGCAGCATTGTCGTGTTCGTGTGTGTCCCACATCAGAAGACACCTGTGGACACATGCAGTCATTTATTAATGCATAAACATATATTATGCCTAGCAAGGGTAGTGGACACTGTAGTAGACACCATGGTACAGTGGTAGCATGAGATGGTAATATGGTATCATTCAATATAATGATTTATAAATACTTTTCTAAAATGTATATATTTCATCTTTTCCTATATGCATTATATCATCTATTTTCTTTATTTTTGTGTTTATTATTTATTTATTTTATATGCATATATTAATTATATAATGTTTGTTTATATATTTCATTATTTAGTATTTTTTTTATTTTATATGTATTTTATACTTATAAATAAATGAACATATAAATTGCTTTTATATA